CATTAGGGAATAATCCCTCTCTAAAATTTCCATATAAGGCCATGGCATAAGCCCTTTACATTTTTCCAATATAGACCAAGGCATAAGCCTTCAACATTTTACTAATCCAGGCCAATAACATGGCATAACCCCTCAATGATGCATGTATGCAACATGCAACAACACGATTATGAAAATACAGGACATGAGTCTTTAACATTATGCCATTCCAGGCTAACAACAACAACGTTATACTAAAATACAACCTGCAAATCCTTCATACATCATTTATACAACTCCGATATTTTCAATCGCAACATTTTACATTACAACACATAAAACCTACACACACATTATGATTTTTCAAATACAAAATATTATTCTACTTCCATAAAAATAATTATCACATTATAGAATATAGTTTTAGATTCCCAACGGTCCAAACTACACCCCAAACAGACTCACGGTTTGAAAATTACGAACTTTTAAAAATTTCATTTTTTTCAATTTACTCTTGGGGTAATCGGCTACGCCATATAGGGTGCTCGGGTACACTGCGTGAAAATGCCCAGTAACAACATTTTTCAACGTTGTAACCGATTACATCATATGTAGTACTCGATTACACTTCGACCAGAGCCAAAAATCTTCTACTTTTCAAGTTACCAAAATTCATTCTTTTCAACCCAAAATCACTCTTGGAAACATAGTAAAACATACCAATTTCTATAATTCCAAATCAACATCATACATAGCAATTATAACCAAATTATCATATCAATTTCACCAATTTCATTCAATTATAACAGTCAATTTCACAACCAATCTACACCAAAAACCTAACATTCAATATCATCATCTACCCATAATTATACCACCTATTAGAGAGTCAGAATCCCACCCTTACCTTAGGTTGGAGATTCCTCAAGCTTCAACAATGGTTCTTCCATTCCTAGCTCTTCCTCTTTCTCGCTTCTGCGTTTTTCTCGTTTCTAAGATCATTCTAAACAACTACTCTTTTATTCCTCTTGTTTTTTCTTATATAGCCCCTTGGGACCCTAATATCAATATTCCAACTATGCCCTCCTCTCATTACTAGATTAATTTTCTAATTATTATAAAATAATAATAAATCTAATATTTTAGTTCAAATAATACTAGTAAATTATTTATCTCTCCACACCCTTATGTTTCTACACTTTTGGTCATACACCCCTATCACCTTAACTTCTATAATTTCTAAGGCTTATAATTTCCAACAAATGCACAACAACACATCAAAAGATTCACCAGCGCGTATAAATACATCACAACAGTTAATTAATTTAAATAAAACAATTTCAACGAAATCGGGGTGTTACAATGGTGGCACAGTTCGACCTTGAACTGGAACGAATGGATGTGAAGACTGTGTTCTTGTATGGTGATCTAGATGAAACAATCCTAATGAGGCAACCTGAAGGGTATGTCGAAAAGGGAAAAGAAGATTACGTGTGCAAGTTGAATAGATCTTTATATGGGCTTAAACAATATCCTCGACAGTGGAATAGGAGATTCAACAAGTTCATGACACTGTGTTTTGTTAGAAGTCAGATCGACCACTGTGTTTACTTTAGATTGTGATCTGATAATTCATTTTTAATTTTGTTTCTTTATGTTGATGATATTCTCATAGCAAGCAACAATGTCGAACATGTAATGAGGGTGAAGGCTAAACTCAATAAGAAGTTAGACATGAAGGATCTGGGATCTGCATCCAGGATTCTTGGGATTGACATCCGAAGAGATAGAAAGTAGTAGAAATTATGCTTATCTCAAGAGGCATACCTACAAAAGATTCTTAGCAAGTTTGGTATGTCGAATTCAAAGCCTGTCGTGACTCCAACAAACCCTCAATTTAAGTTGAGTATAAATCAATGTCCCAGTACTGATATTGAAAGGTCTTATATGAATAGCATCTCATATGATAATATATTAGGTTCGTTAATGTATACTATGGTCTGTACTAGACCCGACATAGCATATGCAGTAAGTCTTATAAGCAGGTACATGGCGAATCCTAGAAAGGCTCACTAACAAGCATTGCAGTAGATTCTAAGGTACATAAATAGGTCTTTGAACAAAGTCCTAATTTATGGTGGAGTCTTGGGTGAAGATATTAAAGCAGTAATCGAAGGATATATCGACTATGATTGTGCAGGTTGTATGGATTCCAGAAAATCTATTTCTGGATATGTTTTCACTATGTTTGGCACAACAATTTGTTGGAAAGCAACACTTCAGAAGGTTATTGCCTTATCAACTACTGAAGCAGAATATATTTCCTTCACCAAAGCTATAAAATAAGCATTGTGGCTTGAAAGTTTTGCAAAGGAGCTAAAACATCAAGGTCGAGTTATCACTGTTAAATGTGATAGTAAAAGTGCAATAACCTATCGAAGAACTCAATCTATCATGAGCGACCCAAGCATATCGATGTGAGACTGCATTTCGTCAGAGGGGTAATCGAGTGTGGAGAAGTCCAAGTGCTGAAGGTTTCGACATATCACAATGTTGCTGATATGATCACCAAGACATTGCCAAGTTGCAAGTTTTTCCATTGTATGCAGTTGATAAAGTTGCATGAAGAAAGCTAGTTTGTTTGTTGATATTAGAGTTTGTTCCAAGATAGAGATTTATAAGATATTGGATCAAACTCTATTGGTTCGAAGGTAGCTTCTTGGTTTTGAAAGTTCGACAGAGTTTAGCATGTCGTAGAAGTTTGCTCCCATGCTGTTGTCGAAGACCTATATGCTGCAGTCGAAATGTGTTATAATATGTAGATGTCAAAAATACTAGGGTTGTTAGCATGTTGAATTTGACATGTTTGTTATGTCTAAATTTTTTAATTTAGCTTGTACCCTAAGTTAGCTTGTAATGGATATTTGTGAAAAAGCTCATTAGTTTAGTATGTTAGGTTTATTATAAATAGCATACTGGTATCTCATCATTGTATACAGTAAATCCTAATTTAGGGTGAGAGGGTTATTTGTTATTCTTGTGTACTTGTAATCTTGTTTGAAAAGAAAGTAAATAATAACAATTATAACCAATCCTTGTTGTTCGTCGTGTTCTTCATTCTTTTCTACCCTAATTGTTTCTTGATCATAAAGAAACAATTTATACTTTGTTTTCAATGTATCGTGTTTCACAACAGTGAGCATTGTTAAAATAAGTATTCCACATAATTTATTATAAACTCAAGTGTAAATATCACAACGATTGTAAAGCACAACCGCTGTTAAATGTTATGTGTTAAGAATTTCATTACGGTCGTAAATTTAACCGTTGTGATAAGTAGCACGCTACCTAGATTATAATTACGGTCACACGACTGTGGTGAAAATTATCATATGTACAATCACCCCTACCTCACAACACAACAGTTAGTCATCCATAACTTTATTCCTTTTCCAACCATTGTGAAAGTGGTTTTTCATAGTAAAACACTTTACATAAATATCCATCTATTAGCAATACTAGGTATAAATATATTTCATTTTGTATCTCAACCAATTGTTAATTGATAAATCAATATTCTTTTCATTATCAAAAATAATAACGACTATGCACATCAGTCATAATACAAGCACGGAGTACAATAGCTCAAACTATCAATCATCTCCAACTAAACACCTTAATATTTCTTATAAGAGTTGGCCTCTTTGATGTCAATCATGAAAAGATGCATCTATTCCTTATACTGCAGATACCCCAAAACATCTCATGCCAAATCATAACAAATTCGTCTCCACTCATCCATGAAGATGCCAAAGATGATCAACCTCAAGAATAATGGCTTAACGTTTATCTCTATGATCACTCCCAACCTTCTTCAAACCACATACCAAATAAAGATAGAAAACACACAAGTAGCTAGCGAATAAATGAACCTCACACCCCAACAAGACTGAGCAAAAAAATCACAAGATGTTGCAACCTCATCCCATATTACCCTCCTCTTGAATACGTTGAACTTAATAGGTAGCTTATAACACAACATTTTGTCAAGAAAATACTATAACCATTGAATGAGAGAAACTCTTCCATTGCCAACTCAACCAGTTACTAATTCAAAGAGAGATTGGTTACAGGGAGAACAAATGTTGACAGCACTAGATACACTCCTCTAATGGCCATGCCCCTATATGTAATTTTTTATCTTATCAACAAATGATAATCATTCATATATATGATTTGATTACAATTATAATTATAATTAAATATTTTTAATTATTTAGCACTTATAATTGATTCATGTGTAAATTACATTAATAGAGTATATATCAATCAAATCTTTATTTTTAAATTATTTAAAATATTTTTTTATAAGTAAAATACCTGGAGACAGAAAAAAGAAAACTAAATTTTAACAATGTCATCCTTTTATCTAAAAGATAAAAAGTTTCAAAAAAATGAGTGTCCAATAGCAGAAAAATATTAAACCAATAACTGGAATAAAAACAGTTAAGGTAACTCATCAGAAATATAAATAAACAACTTGTCATGAATAAATTTAAAAGATTAAATAAACTAATAATAAACCAATCAATCACATTGAGAAAGTATAACAAAAATTAAACCAACATTACTGATTTTTTTTTCTGAAGCAAAAATGTTAAAATAAGAAGAAATGTATATAATATATATTAAACAATAATTAATAATTATTTGGGGTTATACATTCCTTCCATAAACATTAGGGTTGATCCAAGTGCAATGTTATGTGATAGATTAACAGTGTATATGACTACGTAGCTAACATATACACACACACTGTCTCAATCTATTTCACATCATGCATGGAATTGATTCTCTTCATACATGCACTACCACCAACAAACTCAAATTCATAATAATACTAATTATTATTATTATTATTATTTATTATTATTAATTATTATTATTATTATTCATAGTATATCATACCTTAAACTAATAATAATATGTTAGGAGGACTTAGACTTCATTGATTCATTACTTCAAAATCCATTAATATTGTTGGATCCATTATTCCCTGTAATATTTTGATGAAAATGATGTTGATGATGATGGTATCCCGACATAGAACTACTACTCTCACCAACATCAAGTTGTTCAGGTCTATACACCTCTTCTTGCTCTTCTTCATCTAACTCTTCCTTTGCAACTTTTTGCATTCCTCCCATGAATCGCAATGGTGCTAAAACATGTTGTGTTTGTGTTTGTAGCTGTTGTTGATGTTGTTGTGGTGGTGGAACAACTGAAGGTAACTTTGAGAGTAATGCTTCGAGACTACTCATTGATGGAGTTACTTTCATTGGCATGTTGTTGTTGTTGTTCATGAAATGATCATATATTTGGTCACCATGTTGATGATGCTGTGGTGCAAAATTATGCCATTGTTCTGATGGACCACCATAAGGGTATGCAGATGATGAAGGGTGTGGGAGAAGTACTCCCGGTATGCTTTCGATGTAGCTGAACTTTTTCCGCAGTAGAACTACATAGCTCAAATCTTCAATCACCTTGAGTTTCATACAAAAATACAAAATATATGACTTGATTGACTGTAATGTATAGTAATTTTCTACCTTAAGTGCGTGTTTAATGTTTTAAGCTGTGACTGTGAGTCTCATCTAATGATTTTTGATGTATATATGAAGGACTGACATAAACACGAGGGTCAAACATGACCATAAACCGGTAATTATTTGAGAAAATAATATAATTAAGTGTAACTATACATGTTTTTATCATGTTAGTTTCAAACATAAATGGTGTGTTTAATTTGAAGTGTCGGTGTTACATTTATGTGATGTGACTTATTCTATAGTTAAAAGTGTGTGAGAGAGAAAGCAAAGGGAGCAGAGAGATGTGAAACCTTGTGAACAGCTCCTAATTGAACAACACCTTCTCTAACAGCAATGAGGGCTATGGTCTAAAACATAAACATATATAATTTATAATTAATTGAATCAAATATAGAAAGAAATAGTACTATGTGAAATCTTAGTATGAATGTCATATATATACCTTAATACCAGACAAGAACTGAGCTTCCCAAGTCCTAGGGTGCTGTAAAATAAACATTCTCTTTAACAAACTTGTAATACAAAATCATTGACCAAGATTATATTATGAATCAAATTTATCATTAATTAATGTTTGATATTACTCACTGAGTCTGCTGAATTATGCCATGCTGACAAGAAATTAATTTCTTGATCATTAGGTTCTTTATATATCCATTTATGACTGTGATCTGCAGCTACTTTTCCAATCAACCTGTTCCATAAAATCTAACTAATTAACCATTTAAGCCAATTTTCTTTGAACTTTTTCAAGAATAAGCACTTAAGGAATGTTGTATAAGATCACACAATTACATACCCTTCTCCATAGTTATAGATCTCATGTGACATCTTGAAGAAAAGCTCAGGTTGAAGACCTTGGTAAGGCTGAATTAACTCGCAGTTTCCGTAAACCGATGAAGATGAGTTAGGACAATCACCACCAGAGTTGTTTATTTCAGGTGCTGCTGCTGATGCTGCAAAGTTGCAGAATCCATCTTCCCAAACCAATATCCTGTGCATGTATAATAAACATCAACACAAACTTCTCATTATACCAAATACATGATGACAAGAACAATATAAAAAATATCATTACCAATTTCTTCTGTTTCCTCTTGATCTATCATAAGCCCCTTGTCCTTCCCACCTATATTCCAAAATATCAAACAAAAATAATCACTTCCATTAGAAAATGTTTTATACTCCCTCTGAATGAAATATAAGCATCATATTTCATATTTCATGGCAAGATACATGTGGCGAGTGGTCGAAAATTGTTTCTTACTTGGGAGGAGGGTAGTTTCTAGGCAAGATCCTCCAGAAAACAGCATAAACCCATTGAGAATTATCATGGATACACAAACTTCTTAGAGTGTGTTGAAGAAGATGAGTAACAGCTAATGGAGTAAGATGATGTTCTTCCATATATAAAAATAAAAACACTCACACAATTATAGAAACTATAGCTAGCTTTTTGATGCTATATCTCTTCTTCTCTTACAAAACCTTTAGCTATAGGTATAAATCTTTAATAATAGTAGGAAACTTCAACATCTATCTCCTCCTTATTTATATAAGCACACACCAACAAGGAAATCTCACATTTATATTTTAGAAAAAATAGAAAAGAGGTGAAATAAATGAAAATCATATTTTTTTTTCTTTTTTCTTTCTACATATATTTTATCATAGGACCCACCACCTTAAAACAAGCCTCATTTTTCAATATTATAATTGAACACAACCAAACCTCACCCCAAATTCATGAATCATCTTCAATCAACAACACTATTATTTATATATGTATATATATTATATACTATAGTTTATAGTTTATTATATGTGGCTTAAAATTGAAACATGAGCATGTCTTTGATTTGATCATACACGCTCTTATCTTAATTCTTAGCTAGATTTATAATCATATAGTATGCTTCTGCAGAAGCAGCATCTTATACTATACTATACTACGTATTATATTTTTTAAATTTTGAATTCATTTTTTTCTCCATACCGTTCTGTTTCCTGACATCTTCTTAAGGTATCAGTAACCTTCTCATGATTCCTATAAACCACACACAACCATTCATTTCAATTCCACCACATAAATTTTAATTAATTTACCATCTTATTATATATATATACTATACATTTTTCTTCTTCTGATCTCTGATACTAATAGAACTGGGTAATAGTGCCACTGCCAGGATAAATAAATCCCTTAGTAAAAACGAAATATCAACATCAAATTACTGTTTCATGCACTATTGCATCACAGAAGTAATAACTCACTTGTTACTGTAACATGACACAAAATCCACTACTAATTACTATACTAATTACTATATATGCCAACATATGTATATATATATATATTATTGTGAGTGAGAGAATATATTATTGTGGATACTGTAGATGGTCAGACTTTAGTAATTATATTTTAGCCCAAAAGCTGAAAGAGTTCAGATATTCCTTAACCTTTGTTGCATTGCATTGCTAGGGAAGACTTTTGATTTATTTTTGTTTATAATGAATTTAATATTAAAGTTTGAGGTGTAGTTATGAAGATGAAAGCAACATATTTGTAGTAAAGTGTTTGTAAGATATGATGAAGAAGAAACATGAAATGACACTAGGTAGAATGCAAGAGGGTGTAACCATAACCTGATGAACATTACTATATTATTACCAAATGAAATAATGTGATGATGAAAGATTGAAAAGAAAGTTGAAGAAGAAAATGTAGCTATATTCATGAAAATTTGAACAATCTCATAATAGTTGTTATCTTCTCTCCCTTTCTATGCACCTGCTACATTATCATCTCTGTAAGTTACATAATGACTAAAAGAAGAACTCATTACTTTCATTTCTTGTCTGACACACCACAAAAGCTTGTTGTCAGCTCATTATGCTGTTTCTTCATATCATCGATATCCCTTTGACCATTCATTATTTTTTTATATATCAAGAAACTCATGATTCTCTTTTCAGATATTCATGATTTAGATTACCTAATTACATCACCATTTATTGCTTTCATTTCTTGATAGTGACACACATTGCTATCTCCATGCTTTCATAAACGGATTCTAACTGTGTAATGTTTTGTACCATAACATTAACATTGCTTTTCTTTCTGTATCTTTGTTCCTGTGTTATTGTTAATTTAAGTCTGAGTGTGAGAAAGAGAAGTTTTTGAAAGATGAAGATTAACCCTAGCAAAAAAATATAAATTTTTAACTTAATTTAATTCTGATAAATTTTGGCCTATTAAGAATTAAGAATTATAATATTGGTATTTGACTATTAAAAAAAGATAACGTAGTGTACAATGTGTAAAGAAAGATAGGAAGGTGTACAATAGTAAGGGAGAGAAAGTTGTAGGAGAGAGTTGGGGACAGTGGACAGTGTACTCTGAAAAGAGTGATGTAAGCAAAAGGAAAGTGGTGTTGGGGGCTACAAAACAATTGAATGAGGTTTGGATTTTATTCAAAGGTGTTGATGCCTTCTAGTGGACATAATTATATTGGTATTTTGTTCTTTTTCAAAGAAAAAAAAAAGATTTTGGTGATTAGCTAGTTTGGTACGGGAGAAAAAAGAAATCAAAGAATGGCATAATAGTCTTTTGGTCAAGGAACAGATGTTGATATTGAAAGGATGCCCCATCCCTTTCTTCAATTAAAGGAACTGGAATCTCTGCCCTCCCATCCTTCCCAATGTCTATGTCCCATTTCATTTTTTCAAATTATACAATTTTAAAAAAATACATTTAAGGATATAAACCTAATGACAATTTGACATATACAATAATAAATTAATTAAATATATTTAGAAAGGAGAAGAATCCAAAAAAAAAAAAAAAATTAAATTTTAATAAGTGGATGATTTCCATATTTGTGTCTTTAGAAGTATATAATTTATTAATCAAGAGACAACAAAACATAGGATCTTATAATGCATACTTCTAAGCAGGCAAGAGATATTTTCCAAACACAATAAAATTATTTATTACACTATATTAGTATCATGTATGTGCTAAATAGAAAATAGGTGTGGGATGAAAGATTGTAATTAGATTATTATATTTGGTATGTTAGGTGGCATATTTTATAGGCTAGGGTTAATGGCTAGGGTTGGATAGATTCCTCTCATGGCCCATAGTTATTGTGTCTTAATAGAATAAGACACATAACCCTCACACCATAGTTATTTGGTAATGAAGTTAAAGGATACCCTAATTGGTTATCCGTGATGTCTATGTATAAAATTCAGTGTTTCTTGAAGTGATGGAATTTCTTATCTTTAGTAAACTCATTTGTTTATACATTTGAATTATATTAGTACTATTATGCTTCTCACATTTTTCGATATTATTGTCTCTTTACTTCTACCGATCCTGCCAAGGATACACTTAATATTGACATTAAGGTTTGGACTTAGTTTTTTTTTTTTTGAATTAGTTCATTTATAAGAGAGCACAATTAAAAAAAATTAATATTGTATTAAAATTTAAAATTCAATTATTTGGGAATTAGCTTTTTTTTATACATTTATATCTATTTATATAATATATTAAATCTGAAACAACATACTATATTACCACACATATGCTAAGATTTTCATTTCAGTCACATCATCACGTAGTCTTATATGATATATCCATAATCTTATTTTCAAATTTCAAATACACAAATACTATATTTATTCTCTATTAAAAATCACGGGTTCGAACCTTGAGAAAGACAAAAAAAAATCATTTTTAACATTATTCCTACTATCTATATCTATATTCTCCTAAATTTCAAATTTAAAATAGACATGAAAATATAAACACCAAAATCAAAATTATATTTAAAAATATCATTTTTATCAAAAATGATTTAACAAGACCGTCGCTATTCTAACTATTTGTATTTCCCTTACAATAGATATGGGAGGTCTAAAATTAAAATTATATTTAAAAATCTCATTTTTAACAAAAATATCGGATTTCAAACTATTCCGTCTAATTCATTATTAAAAATTATATTTAAAAATTATGTTTTTATATAATATCATTTCATATGTAATATTTTTACATGTAAGTTCTTAAATCATTTTAATAATTTCCATGTCTATTTTTATTGAATTGTGCATAATTCTTTTATAATTTTATGTATATATCCTCAAAATAAATTCTCATAAATTATCTCAACAACATTACATAAATTCATATAAGAAAAATTAAATATATTTGATAATATAAAAATAAAAAATGAAAGGAATTTATTTTTCAAAAATTTAACACATTTATATTAATTTACTTGATTATCCCAGATCTGTAATTTAAAATAAAATAATATAAACATAAGTTGATTAATCATATTTATTAAAATAAAACATATTAACTACAATTAAAATTTCAATATAAAAAATAATTAATTTACACATGCGTATTGCACGAGTTCTAATCTAATTATATGTTATTTTAGGTCAGATGGAGTATAAGCTAAATAAACTCTTTTATACTAGAGTGAATACTTTAAGAGCATGATTATCGGTGTTCTTTGAGAGTTCCTACATATTTATTAAAGAAATTGTGTCAATAATAAATGGATATTTCACTTGTTTTCACGTTCCTGAACTAAAGCACGTCCTCATACTAAAACACGCTTCTACACTCCAATTAAGTGGGTCATGATAATAAATTAATAAATAAAATTGCAAGAATGTAGTTGATTTGTTTTAAATGTGGGACCCATTTTAGATTTTTTGATGAGTTACATGGATATTTGAGAATTGTAAATGAGTTGTTTAAAAAATTGAGAAGTGTAAAATAATATAAAAAATTATGTGGGTCCTATTTAAAGAACTCAAATGGGTATGATGGATGTGAATGCTCTAAGTGCATAAAGAGAAGTGTGACTTTGGAAGATAGTCTCTCTCACCACTTTTTGTATACCCACTTAGTAGGTTTATTAAAATAAAATCAATGCATGGAAGTGCTCTATGAAGATTTGTTATGGAATAAAATATAGTAGTATTGCATTTGTTTCTCCATATGTTCTATAAGGAGAATGGAAACATGGCATGACAACAACAATCATTAAAGCCAATTGATCATGATTTTATTCGGACAAGATAAAAATCAATTAGATTTTTTTTTCCAAAGAACTCATGTTTTAGACGAAAATCAGAATTGATGTTGATTGATAAAGTTGGATTCTTGAAGTGCTGCTATTAATCTCCAATATAATGGTATATAGTAGACCTCTAAGATTAACATTCAAACGTTCAAGTCAGTTACAAATTTCAAAATGAGTGAAGTGAAAAATGAAGATATAAAGTGTACTTTGAATCTCGCGGGTCTTGATTATATATATTGGATAATTTTAATTGAACTTTGAATGATTAGGTTGGGGAGTTGAATTTTTCCTGTATTG